CAAATAACAAATTACATAGTTTGTTAAATTTGTTACAAGCAATAAATAAAGCTAACAAATACACCGCTTGTGAACAATTTTCCACATCAAGCGATTATTTAGTGTTTTTACAGTCGATAACTTTACGAAAAGCAATACCAAACTAATGTTAAACAAGGTTTCTGTTTTAGGTTATTTTTCTATACTTAAATAATAGCAAAAGATTTATCTGTAAGTATCACTGAATCAGAAGAATCCAGATTCAGCTCCGATTTTTTTTAATGTTTTTGATAGCACATACAGGTCTTTATATCATATACAGATCTTTTAATATCTATACCAGTGTAGGCGTCCTTCATCATCAGCTCACTATACGTCCCCACCGAGGGGCTCGGAGCCTTCCCTAAGTTAAGGGTGATTAGGCCATAATCAACCACGTGTAGGCGTCCTTGTTTCTGTATAATCATGCTAATTTCAGTAACATGATTACGGGAATAACGATCGTTGATAGTGTTCGGAACAAATCGATTACCCATATTTATTTTCAACACTCGTTGAATAAGTTGCATAAAAGTATAAAAACAGATACAAAATCTTCAAAAAAATCATATAACCGGTTGTCGTTGTGTCCATGAATTTCGTCATACCTCAGTCTCTAAAGAGCAAGGTATATTATCGTAAAATGGAATTCCTATTGCCGTGGCGCCTGTTCGTGGCACGGATCCAGTTTGGCAATATTCAGTCGAGACGTCGCGACAAAGACTGGTTATTTCGCTTGTTTTTTTAAATACAGTATTAATTTTTAATGCCAATTTTAGTCTTTAAATATAACATTATTTTAAGCAACTATTGTCGTGGAAAAGTTTTGTTCATTTGCAAATACGTAGTTTTATTTTTATTTACACATTTCAAAGATAAAATTAACTTTATTTAGAATTAAATAAAAAACTGAACTAAACTGATTCCGCAGTCGAGTTAAGCTGATCCTGAAAGGAATTATAAGAGTTCGATGTATTCCAGTAATATGAAAAATCTCTTCATAATAATAGCTTATGTAATTTTTGTTATTATGTACCCAAAGTTAACCTTGACTGCACGATTACCCATCTTTTTACCATATTTTAAAGTAAAAGCCCATAAAAATATACTTAATTGAACCAAGTCCAAAACTTTAAAGTAAAAATCGATAATGTTATGCCTTAATAGGTAAATGCAATCATTATTGATTTCAATCCTTATAAGGTCTCTTGTAAGTCGCTTTTTTAAGATAAATAATTATGTCCTAAATAATTATTATTCACTTACTCACACGGTCTCTACTTTAAGTTTATTACTTTCCTTATTGCAAATATAAAAATGTGTACAAGAAAAATCATCATCAGCTCACTATACATCCCCACGGAGAGGGCTATACCACATACCCTAAGTTAGCGGTGACTAGGCCATTATCAACCAGACTGACCCAGTGCGGGTTGGTGGACTTCACAAATGTTTTTGAATTTATTCGCAGATATGTGTAGGTTGAATCACAATGTTTTTTTTTTCATGGTAAGAACTTCGGATAGATGTACAAATGTAAATCGAAAAATACATTGGTATATGGCAGGATTCGAATCTAGGACCTGCAGATTAAAAGTAAAGTGCTCCACCCGTGCGCCACTGACGATCTTCAACAAGAAAAATATGTTAGTAGAACCAGCATTCGGTAGTTTAATTGTATGCACTAATGTCGTTATTTGCTGTTCTTTCGCCGTATTAATTCAAGAAGACTCGTTTACTATTGGGTTTAATCTATTTCTAAAAATCACTGTTCACAATTAACGTAGGTAAAATGAAGTTGAGAACTTAGTTGCGTGTATCTAATCTTTAGGGCGCCGCCGCAAGCGCGAGTTGCGGTAGATAAGACTGTTGCAAAATTATGTTTACACACAGATATAACATAAAGTTTGACGGTGTATCGTGTATACATGACCTAGATTTTAAGTCATTATTAGCGTAAGTTTCCATTGTCGATACACCTGTTCGAAAACATATTGTCATCTCTATGATTTGCCTTTGAAAAGCAGAGTTAACATTATATTTTGTACAAAATGTTTTGGCAGTGAAAACGAACGGTTTGAGGTGTTCATTTATAAATCTGATGGTTTTATAATTCAAATCGGTCATGTTAGTAGACACTTATATCGCGTATTTTATACAAAAAGAAAAAGTAATTTAAAAAAAATTAACGTTAAAATAACGCAACTTTAACCGATCTCTTTATGCAATTAAAGATAACATTTTACTACAAATAATATTAAGACTTAAGGATATTTGTAAATCAAGGTAATATGTGTTATGTGTTACTAAATTTTCCTCTCATAAGTAGAAGTAATGCTTTTGATTTTAATCTGTACATATTAATAAAACTAGCAAGTCTGTATTATGAAAAACCAAATTTTTTTTCTTTTTTTCTCTTTATCGGTCAGTCTGTACGCAAGACCGCGATTGTTCCGGGTAATCTCTGGAACGGTTGGACAGATTTTGATGGAATTTGAAGTTAAGGTAGCTGATACATGCGGGCATATTATAAAGCTACTTTTTTTAATTCTGCGCTGACAAAGTTGCGGCTGACCGTTAAACCTAATGTCAATTAATATTATTTTAGAGGATTAAGCAGAGCTGCCGAGGATATTAGGATGTTTTCGAAGAAGCAGTTAGACGTAATTTTGCGTTTTTTTACGCTCTCCAGGTAGCTATGATTGTTAACGAGTAGTAACAAACAAAAAATATGCAGAGTACCTATAAAGAGTACTAATATAAAAAAAAGTATGGTGATACATGCTGCCCAAAATTGATGATCAATAATTTTGTTTCCGGATAATTAGGCGCCATTATGTTATCGCGGCAAAAAACATATTCGTTACAGATAAAGAATGCTAAAATATATACACAGTCACGTTTAGTTCGTACTGAAAACACATTTATCAAACTTTACATAATGTTCTTATGATTTGTATATTCAAAGACTTATGTAAAAGTACTCTTGTTGATGACAAACGAATGTCTCGTAGAGTAAAATATTTTGTACAATAACCATTACCTATATTATGTACATTCATTAGATGTTATTGTTTGAGACAATATTAAAATTGTTAAATCTACATTTATATGTATTCCAGCTTTTGCCCACGTAACCTGCGTGGGATAAAAAAATTAATTAGTAGTCTGTGTTCTTCTAGACTGTGTTCTATATTTATATACCAAATTTTAGGAAGATTAGTTAAGCCGTTTTGCACGTACCTTTGGTTAACTATTATAAATGATATAATAATTATTAAGATTTTAAAAGAATCAATTCTTTTCTGAAATACTTTTTATATTTGTTATGCAATCGTTTGACAATAACAGATTTTAATAATAAGTAATCAATTGCAGAATAAAAATGATTAAATCGGTCATTCCTGAATGCAATCCGTGATGTTTACATGTTGATAAAACGTATATTATCAATATTTTTTACACGACAACTTGACGTTATCTGTGCACGGACACCTAAAGGTTTCTTTTAACCTTATTAAATCAATACAAATTAAAAGGTATGAGTGAAAAGGTCGCAATATCTTTTATCTTTACGCGCGTGAACAGATACAGCTGACACCGATCACTACAGTTTTTTCACACCTTTGTTATGCGCAGAGATATAACATCGTCAAACAGTAACTGCTGACTGTGATCAGGTTTACTGTGAACCCCAGTTTATGAATAAAAAAGGGAACTGCGTTACACATTGTCGCCTAATGACAATACTTTTGATTGTAAAACATACCTACTAGGCATTTGTCTCTACATCTTTGACTTTTAGGATCAGTCGCGTATAATTGTGTGGTCATTATGTCGTAAATACCGAACAATTTTTTTGACTTAAGTATACTATGAAACGCTGTATTAAATATTTATCGTGCTCAAGTGAACTAGTGCTATGAACTAGTTGGTTTGCTTTTTAGTTGGGAAAATGATTCATTGGAGTGGGCAATTGTTTCAATCGTTACATTCGTGACTTTGCGCTCTGATACTTATCTCTGACACGTACGTGGAAATCGTACGCTCCCAATACATTTGTTTGTATCTTTTCCAGTTTACGGGAAAGATAATTAGAAAATTTACAGAAATCAGTACCGCGTTTGTATATTCCAACATTCAAAACTAACGTGTCTTGCTATTAAAGTGTCTTGGTTCGATACTTAATACTAACATACCTAATATATTGGTTACTACCTTTCTCTCCTCCATTGATCAGTATATTGAATTTATTTTGTCGGGAATAAGCAATGTTAGTGAAGGATAAAGGGTACATTTATAACAGACTTTCCGATTACAATCAAGTACATAAGGGGCACCTCGCGTGACGGCGCTCTGAACCGTGATGCAAACATTGACGGGGAACTTTTCGATGCACGTTGAAGTAAATATATATCTACATATACTATAGTTAGATGTAAAATAATCTTATAGTAAATACACATTTAAATTTTATGCTTTATATTTTTATAGTTACGACAATATATTATATCGTTACTTAATATTTTTATACCTAAAAATAATCTTTGCTTTAAAATTTTGACATGCCTTGTCACTTGTCAACGTAAAATCGTGAATTCTGATATCGTCAAAGTTGTTCTAACTTTTAACTCTATAAATAATTATGTTAAGTGTGATTAAATGAATAAAAGAGATGGCAGAATTATCTGATGACTGTGATGTACATATGTATAAAAGGTTATAATAGTGATTCGCATAATGTTATTCCGCTAAGCTAAGCTTCAACGCATCTGCGGTTCCTCTGGTATTGCTGATGTCCATGGGCGTCGTTGACCTCGGTGTTCCCGCTGCTCGTTTGCCCCCTTCTGTTATGAAAAAAAAGCTTCCGTGACAATACTATTACTGAAATGTAAAGATAGATATTGTTTACGCATAAAAATATTGTGTAGATAATTAGAGCTATAAATTGTACTATAGATGTTATTTTTTTTTTGTTTCAGATCCCCGTCGATAGAAGTGTCAAATCAAGATCATTAAATATTAACGGAGTATGCTTCAAAGATTACTCTTTGATTGGAAGCCTACGCTCTGGCGACATAAAACCTATAGATATTCCTAAAAGGATACAAACAGTGAATGCACCGAACAATGACATAACGGATAAAATATTTCATACAACCTATCAAAGTTTTATACCTAAAATGAGTCTAAACCTAGAAAAAGTTGTAGAGAAAAATCCAAGAATTTTAGATTTACGAGAAAAATTAAACGAAATCACAAAGAAACAAGATCTTAAAGATGCAAAGACGAAAAATTATTTAAATGATATATCACAGCAGTTCGTCGAAGATACTAATGAATCAGGTCCATACAGTCTTTTATTTGATCTCCAAGCGGACCCTTCAACTTCATGTGTTAAAGGTAATAAAGGGGAATCGTGGAAAAGATCTCAAAATGATGTATCAACTGATAATATGCCACAAATCGTAAATAAAATAACTAATTCTACTAATAAAAGCCTTGAAAGGCTGCCTAATGTTCTTAACTTCGATGACAAACCCATGAAAGAGTTTGAATATTCGTGCGAGAAAGAAATTCCAATTCCAATCAAAACAACATTCAATACTCATTCAAGATCCGATCTATGTTTGCAACTTAAATCACATGTTCATCCACGAACTTACGAAACGAACCTCAGTCCGAACGAAAACTCTATGAGCAGAAACAATGAAGAAAATTCTCTGGATGACAGCTTAGGCATTCTGACCCCTGATCAAATGGATGACATTTGTTATTTAGAGAATGCGTTTTCGCCTACGGTCGAGGGACTACCAATATTTTGTGATAGCGGAGATTATAAAGCTTCACCTGATAATGGCGATACTCCTTCAACGGATAAGACTGAAAGCAATTCAGCTGCGTCGACAATACAAAATGAAACTTTTGAAAACGTAAATATTAAAAAAGGAAATACATTTTCTAATTCCATGGCACCTATTATTTCTCTTAAAGCATTAGGAACTCAGAATAAAAACGAATTAAGCTATGACAGTAATCAGTCATCAGTACTTAATTTGTATGATAAAACGTATTGCAGTTTATTAGATACAAAAAAAGAAATTAAATACACTTCAGAGGCGGAAGACAATATTGATTTGTACAAGTCTGAAGAATTTACACAAAATTTGGTGGATGAGGAATTTATGCCATCGATTCATGGTAGTATTTTAGAACCTGCAAGTTCTATTGCAGATACAACTATCAATTTAGAAATTCCTTTAGATTGCAAAGCAGAAAATCGTAATGCTAATCGTATAGAGCAAACCCCATCCCCGGAAGATTTACCACTTGATAGTTCTGAAATAAATGGCGAAATCAGCACGTATTCTCAATTCTCAGCGTCTACGTTGCATGATTCACAAACTTTTTCAGACAGCAAAAATGATTATACAAAATCTATGGAGACTTCAAAGGTGTCAAATAGTTTTATAACGAGTATCACTAGCATAACTAGCTTAGACGGTTATCAAGGTGACGGTGAAATGTCAAGACCAGTGAGTCGAAGTGCAGATCACCCTATGGGACCTCGGGAGGATGTCATCGATATGGATTGGCAAAATGTTCCCGTGGCAAGAAGGGTAGATCCCATGACTGACTCCGATTTCTTTACTGAAAGCGATGCCGACGGATTAGACGAACACATGCAAAAAGGTGATCGACGAGCTCAAGTTATAGATGGAGCTCTATACGGTGGTAAAAATGGTAACACAAATGCTCCTTTGATCGTCACGAGAAGTGAAGACTCATGCATGGAGTCAAGTGGCGTGTATACAGATTTTGAAAACCATCGTGCATCTCCAGTATTTTTACACGTAATAAAAGATATGTCTCCAGATTCAACACCGTCGACTCGATCAGAGTGTAGTCAGAAGGATTCTAGCTCTAATAAATTGAATACGTATTTTACACCATTAGAAGATACCTTGGAAGAGCAAAACTCTGATGTGTCACACGTAATCGATGACGACATAACCCCCAAGAATACGAGCAAAAGAAACTCTATAAATAGCGAAAAGGATATACGGACTAACGATAAAAATAAAGAAGAAAAACGAAGCTTTACCTTAAAGAAGTACAAAATGCCTAAACGTGATGTCCCTAGTAAATTAAAAACTATGTTGGCAAGCAGAAAGACTGATGCAGACGCCAGCGTACAAAACAGTCCAAAGGCGACTAAAAAGAGCGAGAGGCGAGAAAGTTTTTTAAAAAAGTCTTCAATGGAAATGAAGAACGAATACAAAATGAAATCTTTCAAGGATATTAAATCGAAAGTTGATTGCACGTTTTCGTTACAACGGTCGCAGACTGCGTGCAGTGTTACAAGAATGTTAAGCGCTAAATCTACTAATATGAACACGAAACCAAAAAGGTAACTAGCATCTAAGTTTATTTATATTGTTTTAAATGGTTTCTGTATTTTGAATTCATTTTCTTGATGACAAAAACATATTATTTTACTGGATTGTAGTAATAAACCTTATAAAATTTCCTTTCGTCTATATTACAGCCGTCATATGCGCATGCGAATGGAGCTGGGCTCGGCCAACGGCAGTGGCAAGAGCAGCCTGCACAGCTCGCAGAGCGACATTAGCGCCACCAGCACGCCGCTCGGCAAGCACACCACTAGCCGCTTCCCATTACTGAGTGAGTATCACCACTATATACTATAATTCAATGTTTCTGTATTTTAAATAACTATACCTTAAACCGCCCTCAATAGGTAATTGTAGTAAATGATTTAACTTGAGCTTTAGCTATTACATTTGGTTAGGCGCTAAGATTCTTACAGTTTTACAGTTTCAGTTTGATGTTATGCTACTTACTCAAATATAATTTTCTCTTCCTCCTCTTAATTTTTTAAGTTAACATATAGTAATGTTGCTATGAACCATAGATTACAATGTAATTTTATTGACTAAATGTTTTAATAGTCCGTATCGGCACACAATAGAGTAGAATGTGATCGTCTAGCGCCTAGTAAATTTTAAGAGCAATGTGCAATTGCTACAAAAATGCATCAGATATTCTGTAAGAGAACAATGATAGACACTCAATAATAACATGTATATACAGTGCAAATATATTTTATAGATACAAACAATTAGTAAATACTTAGATACAATTGATACGATTTCCTTTATTCTAACTTACCTCACGCTTTCATGTATAATATGCCCAAACTTAAGCTAGCATTAAGTTATTAATTGCAAATAATGACAGTGTGTCAAAATACCTTGCTAAATGAATGAATAATAAGTAATTTTACATTAAAATTACTTTTTCAAAAACTGGTGGTGCCACATGGCACTCTGAATATTTTGATCTATGAACTTAAATCTACATTGCTTTTCCCGAGGTTACCTTTCTTAGTTTCACAATCGCATATATTCCTTCTACATCGATTGGGCATAAGACTATCTTGATTTTTGCATACTGGTGTGGTGTTGGCGCTATTTGGTTTATCAATTAAATAATAAATAATCGCTACAGCTAGTCACGGCTGGTTGTAACTCTGCAATAAGAAGAGAGGAAGACACATAACCATGAATTTATTTAATCTTTATATTACCTTAAAGGGCTTCATCTAATTATTATCGACCTAGTGTATTATTACGGAGATTGTCATTGTCAGTCTATTTATGCGCTTAGAAATATGACCTTTATAGAATCGATAAATATTTTTAGTTTGTCCTTTGTTTTTACACTTGCTTAAGGCTTGTTGTTGCGCTAAAAATCAGCTGTGTGCCGTTGACAAAGCAAGTCAGAAGGTCGACATTACGACTAGCTAGGGGAGGACCGCATGGTAACTGGTATTTCCTCCCGAGTGCGAGGAGTCCGCGGCATTCGGTTCGCCGATCCGTTCGCCAGTCGCCGGTGAGACGCGGGCCGGCGCGCGCCGACTGCGCCACACTGTCGCGTCCGTGACGTCAACTTGCAACGCGAAAAATCAATGGATACAGATACAACCCCTCACCCTTAAGGTTACCTAGCATACCGCATTTTTTTCAAACGTAGAAAATGTGAAATATGCCAGTGATAAAGTGAACTATACGATGCGAATGCAGAGGACAACGTGAAATGCTGATCGTCGTGTGAATGGTTTACAATCGCTGAATTTTTGTGTGGTGTCATAATTCGAATTCTATAGGATTTTTTTACAACTTCAGTTATCGGTTGTGAAAAGACTTTCACTGGTAGAATTTTTTTTCTTATTTGAATTCGATCGTGTAAGAATGAAAAACGATTTACCTTAGTTCCATTGTCAGATTTTGCGCACCTTTACAAAAAAAAATTGCAACCAAATTAAGTAATGCATCCTAACTACTATACGTTTTTATTAAAATCTTGAATTATAATAAACTATTAAGATTTCTTATAAATAAAAAAAAAATACAAAAAATGTCTCGTTTTGATAAGCAAGACACGAAACTACGATAAAATAGAAACTGTAATTTCTTATCCAAATTAGATACTGTATTATGCTTGAACAGTAATTCATCGTATAATAATAGAATCGAATTTAATCAGTTCCATTTGCGGTCATGTTATCATCCCATTAGTTAAATACATATTAGGTATAAATATAAAGCTATTTGTGGTCTGCTTTGAGAATGACTGTATTATAAAATAATATTGTGCAGGAAGTCAGAAATTATTCGTCTTGAAATTTTAACGAGCAAAAAACTACTTGAACTAACTATAGACAATTATGTAGTTTTTCTAAACAGTCTTTTTATTCTTTTATAAAGAATTTGATTTGAAGAGGTTTTATAATTTATCTATGGTAACATGCTGACGAGATAAATAGAATTGATTCAGCGAGGATAATGTCATATTACAGGATAAAAGACAATTGGAAAAAAATATTAATTACATTTACAAACTTAGTTATAACTTGGATAACTTAGTATAGCTTTGGCCATTTTTTGTCCCTTTTAAATACTTAAACATCATGTTCTTATTCGGAAATTTTTTTTTAGTATTATTACGAGTTGATAGTACAGAACTTTGATAGTAGTAGAAATAATAGTTTAACTTAGTTAAAAATTTTCTTAACTTAGATCGTGCTAATTTATATTTCTTTTTTTAAGAGATTCTCAAATTTATTACTATCTTAAGCTGTCACCACAAATCTTATATTGTATATTAATTTGAAGGTCGGTAACTAATTAACTTTCTTTATATTCCCTTAGTAGGTACTTTAGTATCTAAATTATACACCGAACTGTAAATATATACGTTAATTTGTCGTAAAATACTTATAAATATTGTACTTTATGAGTAAAAGTTGAAAACTGAAAACGTGGTAACGCATTTAGTATGCAACCAGTCCCATCCATAGCAATTAACTATGATTTAATAGGCTTTCTACAAACAACTTCTCTATAAGTAACGTTCAAATCGCTTTTAAAATATAGCTATTACAGGAAAACTGTTACTATTAGAAATCATCTAGTTTAGTACAGTTGCGTCTGAGACGAATTAAAAAACTGCGAAGTTATCATGTGTTTCTTACCTTTCACTTGTCTATAATGTAATGTAATAGTTGTCGTGTTCCACACGCAATATGTAATTGTATAATACATTTGTCAGATATGTTGTGTTTTGTTTAAAGTAAAATATTGAAGGTCTATTTAACTAGTTTGATTGCATATGTATTTATCGCCTAAAAGGTCATTGACAAGTCGTACTGTTCACTAACATGCTAAGGCCGATTTGTTAATACTTTAATCAAATACATGGAAGGAAAATTTTGAATTTGCTAAACAACTGTAGCTTGTTTGATGCTAAAACTAGCTGTCGCCCGCGATTACGTCTGCACGTATGTGTACCTAAGTGTTCTTCCATACTTTGTTCTATATGCATGCCAAATTTTATAGAGATCCATTCATTCGTTCTGGAGATACCTTCAAACAAACATCCACCCATCTAAACATTTGCATTTATAATATTAGTAAGATTCTACTCTGAGTGCAAAAGATTTTAAATCAAATAGTCATTACCGGTAATAATTTTTACATACAATATTTAATGTCTAAGAACTGATCATTGTAAAAACAATAGCTTTGTATAAGCGAAATAAACAACAATATCAGTATTATCCGGAGATCGATCAACGTTAGATAAAACGGTCAAAGATGACAAGCTAATCCGTTATAACTCGTTTTCTTTACATAGAACAACGGTTGTATCTCTTTATTGATAAAAAAATAAAAAACATTTCTCGATTCTTGTTTCTAAATAGACAGACTATGGTTTCGATATAGCTAGTGACAATCTTAATCAATTAAAAATTAACTTTTTAATTTCATGCTTTTTACCGAATTATTAAAATGCTTCAAGGTTGACTGATAATTGTGTGTAATATTGAAATATCTAATTAAATTTTAGAGTAACGTCGAGTGGTGATTGACCATTAAAGTGTTGAGGTATAATATGGTCTAGTAGGCAATGTGAAATCCGCTGGAAGCCGATGCAGTGTAACGGGTTATTCTCGTCGATGGATTTGTTGACGAGCCGAGATACGTTGACCCCGTCGCCGGTGAAGGCGAAACTGACTGCAATGCAAACTGTTTAACTTCTAAGTTGGGTAGATACGATAATGATCTAAACGATGGACATCACGTTAAAACTTTGTAACGCAATGCGTGTCGAACTATCAGTAAACACGAATGAAGCGAAAAAAGGCAATGGTTTGTGGGTGCATAAATGAGATTAAAATTAATGTTCATATTAAATTAAATCACTGTGATAAAAAGTAAGTCTGCAATAATATAGCTAGCTTACTTTTATCTTTTAAATGTATATCACATTTTGTAATAAGTTACTTTAACTGTGATATTTTACAGTAAAATAACTGTAAGGAATATAAATGATGAATTGAATGATTGGAGTATTCTCCTTTATAATGTTAATGGACTGCTTTTTAGTTAATAAACGCTGCAATATACACAGATTATAAGTTTCAAACACTTACAGGTTATAAGTTATTAACACCCTGACCCATATTGAAGCTATTATGTTCGATGGCCTAAAAGCTTTGAAAGCACGGAATATCGCTTTATCAATGGCGACAAGCTTTATATCGTTCAATGATGAATAGTTTAGGGACATGTTACTACATTGTAATACATCATTAAGGTCAATTGACTTATGTATAAATATTTTATATGTTTTATAAGATAGTTTATTAGGATTTTATTGTCTAACATTTGAATACACATATTTAACTTGAAACGCAGATTTTTTCTCTCTACAATATTGAATGTGATTCCCTCTAATACAATAATTGAATTTACGTATGAAGGCCCATTTACAAGATGTAAGTTTCTTCCCCTTTCCATACAATTTTATTGAAGCAATTAATGTCTTGTGACTAAACAACAGTTGCTTGCAATTATTAAAGGTAAATTATACGCGCATTTTATTGTATTCTATTATTTCTTTGGTACGTATAAGAAAGTCTTATCGTTTAAACAACTTTATCTATATTTACTTGATCTTTCGATTGACATTTGGTTACTTGGAACTCGTTTGACTAATATTAAAGGGTGTAATGGTTACTGATTATGCCATGATCGGAATTATTCTGTACAATTCTCAATTATTCGTGGAAATGGAAACGAAATTACACTGCAGTTTCC